AAGTTTAAGACACTAAAAACCTTGTGTCATGCTGGGTAAAGGATACCCAGGGTGATAGTGTTAACCTATTCCCATTTTAAAAAAAAGACCCAAGAAGGACTGTCTCTGTGATTTTATCCTTGCTTTTGGGAGAAATTCTAGTGTGTTATCCACTTGACTGGAGTCTTCCCCTATTAGAATTTAAACCCACTTATTATTTAAATGTTTTCAAGAGGAGAAGCCAGGTATTGCTGACTTTACTGCAAGGTTGAGGGAATGTGTTAGCAGTTGAGTAGATATAGAAAGATATTCTTTATGTATTTTTTTGAGCATGTTCATATCTTATTATTTTGGTATTATTCCAATTTATTGTATGGTCTTTTTCTTTGGCATGATTGGTTATTGTAGATAGATTGAGATTGCTGAGTCTTGTATGTCTATTATGCTCCTGAATTCGAATTTTTGTTTTTGTTGGCTGGTTTTTAAATTTATTTGACAACCTAGCAAATACCAACAGCTGTATAGCTGTTGACACCTACTCATTTTAATGTAGTCTGTGGTTTATATGGAGCCTCATAATCTACGACACGTGTACATATATAGCTGCATGCAGGCTGTGGATGTAATTTAATGTTTATATGGCAGACATGACACACATACCATAGTGATTATTAACTTATTGTTGAACTGTATTGATCTTGTGTATCATTTGTTTATGTCTAGGGTTCCTGCCCTTTCTGACACGATGCTGCTGAGAAGATCATAGTTTTTTTTTACCACTGCATGATCGATTTCAGCCGTGTTACACAAACATTTAGGCTGTCTCCCACATCAGAAATCTTGAGTTTATAAGATAGCATCAAGCTCACTTTTGAGCATCAGATTGGCAGTCATGGTAATGGCTGATGATATGTGTTGAATTACTCAACACTGCGTGATTATGAATTTTATAGGTACTGCAGATAGAGTAGCCATCCTTGAAACTGACTATAAGGAGAGGTAAGAATTGTGCAAGCAGTAGATGGCAAAAATGATGGCAATTCTAGGCAAAAGTGAGGCAGAAGTTTTGTAGCTACATATTTTAATTAGAAAATATTTAGTTTCAGATAATGTATGCAGCAGTGATGGCCAATCAGAGTTTAGGGCCATAGAAGTGTCAAAGCCCAAACTCCATCAAATGTGGAGGGGGAAAGGTATATATTCATAATTTTTAATTAACATGTTTCAACCTTTTAGAGTATGCAGAATATCACTCTAAGAGGAAATCTGGCCAGCTGCAGCAAAACTGTGACTGGCCTTATTATGGCCAGCAGAGAGGAGGAGGAAGTAGGGGGAAATATAACAACTATAAGAAATATTAAAAATGCTTAATTGTATACATATAGTATTATATTATGACACATTGTCATATATTTGCATTGAATATATATGCATGCATCTATACAACTGGGAAAATTTGTATGGCTATTTATACATACAGCTTTACAACTTAAAAAACTTTAAAAAGCCTGTATATATTTGTGTGTGTGTGTAAATGCTAGCCAACATGCATGTATAAAATTCTCACAATTTCAAGATCCAGTCCATGCACCATTCCAGTATAGTTCAGTAGTCCCTCCAATCCACTGTTTACAAAACTCCCATATAAGACCAGACAATATAAGATTACACATATTATATGCTGAAAGCAGCCTCAAACATTTAGATATAGTTTATATGGCTCTGCTGTGAAAATTTAGTTTTAAAAGAAGATTTATACTGACCAATTTGTCTAAAAAAATGAATTTGTATCAACAACTTTTCCATCTAATAACATTGTTATTACTAAGTAATAGGTAGTTGTGCTATTTTACTTCATATAATCCAACATTTAGCATTACCAAGATTCTGACAAGTGGAGACAGTTGGATATTGGAATCCTTTTTATTATTATTATTATTATTGAAAATGCAAAATTATTTTCAGAAAAACTTTTTTACAAAAATAAGATAATACATTTGAATCAGCAATTTTCCATGCAACTTTTTAACAGATTTGAGTTTGACAAACTAATTTTAATCAAAACAATTATTTCAAATTTTTATACTGTTCACCAAAGTACTCAAGGCAAACATATGGATAGTTCTGGCAATTCAAGCAATATGTTGGCATCCATTTTATCTTCTTTCTTGCTTCTACTCTTACTACTACTTTTTTTTTAATAACTGGAATGTGTTTGTTAGGTGTGACTGCATTCATTTCACTAAGAAAAACCCTTTGGCTTGAGTGAAAGTTCCAGTTAAACCCCCCTTGGCAGTGATGTGTTAATGATGACAATTTTCAGCATGAAATATGAAGAGGATATCTACAGTTTTAGAACAGTTCTGAAAATGATGAAGCCTGATTTACTCAGAGTACTTTAAAAAAAGTTTATTTGTACTGAGCATAGAATTTGTAAAAGTTGTGATGATAAAACTAATAAAAATGGGTATTTTAGTTTTTGATTTCTTTTCCTTATTCAATATTAATACAGCAAATCTTTGTTCTATTTAATATTTTACTTCCAATTTGAAGTTCTGTAGTAGTTTTGAGTTATTAAAAAGTGTGACAATAAAACACCAGTGGGTTAACCTTTTTGCTCAGTTGGTAGAGCAGTTGGTGAATCTAAGCCAAAGAAAAATTACCAGAAGAAAAACTGCTGCACAACATGGAGTCGTCCTATAACTCTGACATAAGGCCCAAGAACAGGCTTTTATTGTGACAGGGTAAGAATGTGGCAGTTTGAGTTGTTAAAAATTGCATTACTAGCAAGAATTAGTGGGTTAATGCTTTAGCTCAATCAGTAAGGAAAATTATCTGATGTATGACAGGGTTCAGGTTTGAATCTAGGCCAAAGAAATAACCACAGTTCCAGTGATTTATATTAGCAGCATATTCAGTTATAAATTTAAAAAAAAATCATACTTGTGAAATAATGCTTGATGCATCTCATGTTTCTAAGAGTAAAAATCAATGTTACCCATGACTACTTGCTTTTAAACAAGACAGAGTATTTGATATGTACAAACTGCTTAATCAGCTCTCTTTACAATAAAACACTTCAGGTGTTAATGCTTTGTCGACAAATTTAATCATTTCTTGTTGATGTATTGTTTGTTTCATTACTAGCAAGAAGTTGTGGGACTTTTTCTTCATCTTTACAGATAACATGGTATAAAAAATGGTTTACTGGAAACAGAAAATTTAGTTGTTATAGTATATTTAATATTTTGTGATTTATGTTCTCATGTTAAAATAATTTAATGAGCCATATGTGTTAGGATACATTTTTGAATATTTTTATTTCATATATATTAATATACTAAATTTTTGCATTTCTGCTAGGTCTCTCAAAGAGGACAGTATGTCGATTTCAGTGTTACTGGTGTCAAAAGATGTTTTTTCACAAAAGTCATGCAGAGCGGCACCAGTTTTATCACTGTAAAAAAAGACCAGCTAATCTGCAAAAGCAGTTTGTTTGTGAACTTTGTAAGAAAGAATATTGTAGACCTGAATTGTTGGAACAACACAAAATTATGTACCATTAAAAAGTAGAAATATTGTGATGGTTTAAAAGTCAGTAATAACTGAAAGTTAGGTAAAGTACTTTGTTCATGTAGAAAAATTTTTAATGTAGAGTTTGTACAAATCTTACTATGAAGTATTCTTAGTGTTAAATATAACAGCGTTAATCACTTGTTAATTTACACTTTGTTTAAAAGTCCATGCCTACAAGGGTTGTGGTTTTTATTTTAACTTTAGCTTCTGTATAGATTTACATATATATAGATATATATACCATGGAATATACTACTCTGATGATTTTAAAATTGAATTGTCTTAAATTATGAAAGTGTTTGTTACATGGCATTCTGTGGTTGTATATTTAACTTTTTGTTTTGTATCAAAGGTGTAAAGAAGAGAAAATGTTTGAGTAAAAATAATTATTGTGACTTTTGAAGCATTAGATGTACAAAGTACCTTTTCTTGGAATAATCTTGTCCTAATTTCTTGTTTGTATATCAAACATAAATGTAGTTTTTTTTTAAATATAATTATATTCCTATAAATCTTTTAAAGTAAATTATAAGTACATATATTAAATAATCTACAATGATTATTATTTTACTTTTTGTTTTCATTAGAAAATATTGCTGTCTTGTTTGTTAATGAATTAAATCACACTTGGTTCCAAAATAGGTATGATACCATACGAGTAGAAAATATGAAATCAATTTATTTGAAATGAGAATTTCATTGTAAATTTGGTTTAGCTAGATAGAAGCGGCTTTTAATATTAAGATACATATGGCAACTTTTGTTACATCTGTGTGTGTTATGTAATAACCTTTGCTACCCACAATATGGTTGACTGTTAGAAACATATATCTAGGTAGCTTACTACTTGATAATTCAAAGTTTTTATAGAAAAACATTTTAGTTATCTTTAAAATTGGTATTTATTTTTGAATATTTGTTTGTTCTTTTGTATTTTAATCTCTTTGTTGTTGTTTTTATCATTAGACTTCTAGTTGTCAGAAAGCTGCAATTTTTGTAAATGGTTTTGTTGTATACCTGCTTAATGTAGGCGTATTTGTTATTGGAATACAAACAACCCATGTGATTCAACACATATTTAGTTGAGTAATTTTATGGATTATGTAAGTGTTTAAACTTCTATATGAACCTTATATTTTGATTGAAATGAGTGGTGATATGCATACAAATTTACCTTGGAAAAAATTGAGATCCTATCATTAGTTATAAAGTATGAATTTGTAAGGTGCAAGGTTTGCCAGTAAACTGGAATTTACAATTTATATGTCTTTGTTGACTTGTTAATGTCAGAGTTGTAATAGTTACCTTAGTGCATGAATGTTAATTATGACTGAATTTAATCTGTTAGTTAGTTGACTTGAATTGTATTCTGGAAATAGTGAATGTAAACAAAGTAGAGTTTTTATTCCATGTTGCAATATTTATTAACATTGGATTTTGGTATGATGTGTGGTTAAAGTAGGTACATATGTTTGGCAAACAAAAAATGCTTTTGCTGCATTTGAATTGGATTATAAGAATATAGAGCAGTTATTGTCTTGTTTTCAACTTTATTACAAAATGTTTATTAACTGTGATAATACTAAATCAGAGCAGTATAAATTTTTCTATTAAGGTTTTTTATCACAAAGTCTGATTCTCATTATAACTTTTCAATATTAGACATTTTTTAAAGTCTGGTGACCAAATGGGGAGTTTATATATCTTATTCATTGCTAATTTTGTGATGTCTTATTCTATGGATAAATAAAGAGTATGTGTTTTAAGAGTTGTAAACTGACACATCTTGGCAAGTCTTTGTACATATATTTACAGACATGAGAACCAAATGTAACATACATTATTTTATGGCTGAAATAGTACTTTTATGATGATTACATTACCCCTTTTTTTTTACTTACAAGATTATACATTTCTCTATACAGTAGTAGAGTAATACTGAATACATTTCATTTCAACTTTTGATAAAAATGATTTCAAATACTTTAATTTTTTTTAGCTGTAATTTCAGACCTTTTCTTATCTACTAGGTATGGTGAGAGCAAACACTCGATTTCTTTGTCACTGGTGCCAAAAAACATTTATTCACAAAAGTCATGCAGAACGACACCAACTATACCACTGTAAGAAGAGGCCACCAGGTTTAGTCAGAGAAAGATTCATCTGTGAATATTGTCAAAAGGATTATTGTCGGCCAGAGGTGTTGCAACAGCACAGGTTAATGTGTAGCATGAAAAGAGAAGGAACACTGTGGAAGAATTTGATGGGAACAGATTACTGTAATTGAATTGAAGATGTGCCTTTATAGTTCAGTTAAAATTGTAACCACTTGCTCATTTTTATGGTACAGTAGGAGGTCTTAGTATATTATTGTTTTATCTGGTGATTAGTATACAAAATCAGATGTAAAGCTGTGGTCTTTTAGAGTTATTTGTATTGAAACAAAAATGCTTAGAATAATGATTTCAGGAAGTTCTTTTTTAATAGGGTTTAAAGAGGTTATGCATGGTTTGTGCAATTAGAGCAGTATTAGTCATTGTTAATTATTAAAAGTAATACAATTACATATTGTATAGGAACTAACTTGAGATAAGTTTATTCATTTAAAACCGTTTTTCTTTAAGAAATATATATATTAAATTAGAGAACTTTTTATGCAATTCAGTTGGTTTTGTTTGCTTACTTGTGTATCAATTGTGATATGTACACCTAGTGACAATGTGTTGAAAATTTTCTCATGCATATTTATGATTGATTTTAGATGGAAAGAAATATGCTACTGAAACTGAACTATTTATATTTGTGAGTTTGAGTTGATCCAAAGAAAGTGTTGTTTGTTTGTAAAATATATTAACTAAAGAATGCCATTGCATTTACAATCAGTGTACAGTAATTATGGTTTGGTCACTTGATAGTTTTACCATTAGTTCATTCGATCTAATTGTTTTAATTAAAATTGTGGAATTGAAGAATGACATTGTATTAATAGTCGACTGTACATCTTTGGTTAGTTATTAATCTCCCTTTAGTGTTATACTTGAGCTTACTGAAAGTGTTATCACCATTATGAGGGGGGTGTAAACATTAGAAATTGACATTAATACAGAGTTATGTTTAGTTTGTTCAAGTGAGAACACAGTTTAAAGTAGGTAGGTGACAGTCAAGATAGGCATATCTTCTGCTTTCCTTTCCCTGCCTGAAGTTTCAGTTCAGTGAGGTAAGTCCATTTGTAGTCTGACTCATTTTGAGTGGTTCTTTAATTGAAGCCATTTTCTTCTATTAGTTAGTTTAATATATGTAAGAACCAACCATCTCTGAAAGACTTAGTTTGATCTTAACTCTTAGAGGTTCTCTTCAAACTAATACAATTTTATAATCACAAGCAAGCATAATCCATTAATGATACAGCCAGTTGTGAAAGGTGCAATAATTATGGTAATAAAGTAAAATATCTTACCATTATCATTTTATAATTGACATAATTTCATGTATACAGAGCCATCTTTGGCTTTGAAAATAAAGTTTTATTTGTGTTTTATTACACTGTCATTTTACAAGTTTTCATTGTCATCTGGACAAAATTTAGTTCACTGGGAAAACAAATAACAGTAAAAGTTTAATTAGATCAAGTTGTATCTGTATACTGCATTCTTTGTTCACGTTCCAGGATTTTGATATACACCACCTTAATTCTATGTTTATGACATTATACATTGAGGCTAAAATTCTTTATATATTTGTTGCAATTTTTTCCACATTAAAGCTATAGCTTTCATCATTTGTTGAAACACCGACATATTGGTGTATAGAGCTGGGTTATTTAGCCAATATAATCGATTACCTATGACCATTGATTTCACTGAATAGCATCATGTAAACTAATTGTTTAATTATGATTAAATCAATTACTGTTATGAAAATAATCAATTAATCAAAGTTAGTATTCTTAACCCACATTTTGACCATCCTAAGACACCAGCCGTGAAAGGACAGAACACAACGGAAGACACCATGGCAGAACTTTCAAAAAAATGTGTCGAGTATCTTAGGGAAGTTTCATAATTACACAATGAAACCTAATTTATCTTTTGAGGAGGAGAAAGCTTTGTATAAATTAAAAAGTAATATCAACATTATAGTTAAAGAATCCAATAAAAGTAAAGGGTTTGTAACTTTAGCAAAGGATAGCTTTGATAAAAATATTTATACTCATTTATCAAATGAAGAAAATATCTAAAATTAAACAAAGATCCTACTAAAACATATAATAACTATTTGATAGTTGTATTGATGTATTTGATTATTTTTTTCCAACATTTATTTTAACTATTACTAGCTATTATTGTATCTGCCAAAAGAATTCCAGTCTTGTTTTTGGCATTTTAACATCTGCAACAGTGTTTCACTTTTTGCCTAAATATTTTTCAGTGCTTAAATATATTTCTTGTCTAAATGTTGTGATATATGCTTTAAAGTAAGTGTTCACTAGGAAAGATTACTTGACATATCACGAGAAATTCATGTGTAAAACTGGAATACTTACCAGCAAAGAAAGAAACTTCTTTGAAATAATCTGTGTTACACAAAATGAACCTACAAAAGCCTACTAGAAATTACAGCATGGGATGTCATAAAAGTAAAAATATAATATTTTGTCAAGAATGGGAAAAATCATCTTTATTCAGAAAACACTGCAAGAAAGTTTTGAAAATTACAAAAAGAGGCATATATTTTATAAATTTGATTCTGTTTAATTTGAAAATGTAATAAAATCTTCATTTTACACATGTTTGAGGGAGAAAAGTTTACAGTTTTAGCCATAATATATTACTTTCATCTTCACGTTTAGTATTGTACATGGTTTGTGCATTGTCTGTCCTGTAAAGTTTTTCTGTTATTATTATTGTTACAGTAACATGTACAAAATGTACAGTTGATAATAAAATATAGTTTGCAGTGTAGCATTAGAGATAAATATTTTATTTTACAGACCTGTGTAGAAAATGTTTGTGGTTGAAAACATTACAGTTCCTTTCTATAGTATGAGATATAAAATGTGTGAAATACAGAGATTAGTACTAGTAGAAAATCTGGAACCAGAAGCCTGTGTTTTATTTGGTTAATAATAAAAATAACAAAAAACTTGGTTTAAGTTAATCATAAATATTAATATTTTAAGTGCATAATATGTAGTTAAATGCTGTATGTATACATTTTCCCATCTTCAGATCTGTAAGTTTGTGTAACCCTTTTTAGTATTGAAACTGACAAAATAATAATAAAAGTCACCTCAGATTGAATAAAACTATTAATGTAACATGTGTTCCATGTTGTGGGTTTCTTTGTACCATCTAATGGACATATTTTTTGTTGGTTTTTTAAGTTCACTTTATTAAAGGCAGCTAAAGATCTTGCAACTATGGCAATGAAAGAAAGGTATATTGTTGCTGTTATTATTATTGTAGTGTACTTACCACTATCTGTTATTGTTTTAAGTTCACTTCAGTAAAGGCAGCTAAGGATCTTGCAACTATGGCAGTGAAAGAAAGGTATATTGTTGCTTCTATTATTAGTGTAGTGTACTTACCACTATCTGTTATTGTTTTAAGTTGGTAATTAAAAACCCTAAAACAAAAAATTGTTAGAAATTTTTGTTAGTTCTTCAACTATCTAAATTATTTTATGAACCAAATCTGATATGGTATTAATCTTTGAATGGGTTTTTTTACCTTACTTTTAGGTTTAGAGTTCACTAGAGGTTGACACAGGTACTTCTAAACCTGGGTACCTGTTTTAGTTGTTTTGTAATTTATTTTTTAACGTAAAAGATATTACATATACTGCTATGTGTTTTTCAGGATTTGATAATAACACACTTCTTATCTAGAGTTTATATTTATTCCAGCAGTGTTACATTGTATGTTGTTTTAGTCCTCACAGTATTTTATTTTAAGAGTGATGTAACTATGTATGTGTGTGATTATTTGTTTCTCATGTACTTATGCTCTGTCTTCTTCTTTTAGCAAATTTTTTTAGGCTTTGACTTTAACTGACAGGTAATTTGGAGTTAAAAATGCTTTGCTATAAATGAATATATGTCAAAATGTGTTGATGTTTAAGTACCTGCCATGCTTAAACAGTAGGAGAAATAGTAAGCTTTGAATTTGGGTAGAAATATCCAAAGTATAATTATTTGTAGAATATATTAACAGAGAGAGTACTCAACTGATGAAACATTGCATTCTAAAATTTATGTAGAAATGTAAATCTAATTAGCTATACTGATTCCAAGGTTGATTTTGAGTTTTACTCTAAGTACATAGACAGCTGTATATTGATTAAATTACTTGTGGTTAGTATTTGCTTATGGAAATTTGAAACCAAAACGTCATACATTGTACATATTGAGTGTCGTGTGTATCCTTGTGAGATATTAAAAAAGGTGATATTTTTGTATAAAATATATGATGCACATATGATGCACATTAAAATATGTAGGAAGTATTGTCTTGTCAGCATAAGTACTGAGATCAGTGATTGCATCAAATAATACATGTATATATGCTGGGGAATGTTATGTTAGTGTCTTTTCACCATTATTAATTATTCATTATTGTCACAATTGTGCAATGTAAAAAATTTTTGTGAGCAATATCTTTTTTTTTTCTGATTTAAGGTTTTGTTTCCTACTTTCTAATAGAAACCTGTGTAAAATCTTGTTAATCTTAGAAGATATTAACTTGTATGTTCAACAGCACAATACAAATTTTGGAATTATGCAGAAAGTTGTTGCTTGCTATTTTACTTTGTTAATGTATTCAAAACTATTAGTTTCTTTTGTAGAGCATTTATATAATATTTTATTTTATTAAGTAATAAAGTGATGTTTATTTTAAATAAATATTTTCCCATTCTTTTTAATCTCAAATACAGTTCTGAACTTGATAATGCATAAACTATTCTTTTTTTTTTTCAGAAAAACTCTGTATGAATGTATCCCAAATCTTTTGTGAAAATTTCATTTAACAAAATTTTACAGAGGTTTAAGTGCTAGGTAGTTTGATTATTGCAACTGACCAACAAAGAATGAAAGTTTAGAGTTTGTTGAAGTGTATGCTTGTTTGTATTTATTTGTTTAAAAATGTTTGTTAGAATACTCTTCTTTTAGTGCTAAATTTAACACTTTGCATATGACTAATAACTGTAAGAATCATAAAATAAAATAAATAACATTTGTTCCTGCTGTAAAAAAGTTAAAATGCTAAGATTGAATTGTGACAGATTAAAGAAAAGAGGAAATAAAATTTAGAAAGAAAAGTGATGTATTACAAACTAAAAAAAATGATTTCGTGATATTTAAGGTAGCACTATCCCTTAAAACTGGGCACATTTACATACTGAGAAAACACTGTTAAATATTTTAAATGCACACACTTAATAAAAGCTTATTGGCATTTAAGTGCAAAAAACTTTAATGGCTGTTTTCTCAAAATGCAGTTTTACGCAGGTCACCAAGTTAATAGCATAACTTCACCCTTAAAGCCAATATCAGTATGAAATTTAGCATACTTGTTGATATTACACTCTTTTCCTAACTTGAATTTTTTTTAATTAAGAAATCTTTACCAGTTGTCTTGTTTTGAGTCTAATTACCACTAATGAAGGCATTAATTAAAATTAATTGGCCATAATTCATTTTCTTATAACCTTCAAGTTGAGCACAAAACAAACGTATGATGTCGCACTTTCTGAAAGTACACTTTCAGTCACATATGTCATATACATAATTAATGCAGCATGGATAAAGAAATACATAACATAAACTGTTTTAACACCATAACTTTACTTAAGAATGATAAAAACATGAAAATTGATACACATGCTCTTTGTGAACATCCTCATGGCTTGAATTAAAAACTTTGAAAATTTTCTGCAATGGTGTGTTTAACAGTATTTCTTCAGCATGTAAGTTTGCCCAGTTTTAAGTGTCTTAGAATATATCAGAAATATAAAGCAGTGTGTATGAAAGAAAGTGACTTAATTTTCTACAAAACAACAGAACATAAACCTGGAGAGGAAAATTTTTCTAGTAAATTACATGATTTTTTTTTCATATGAGTGGAGCATGCTATATTTTAATGACTTACAGTGTTTGAAATTATTATTGATATGGTGAGTTATAATATACAAACACCATTATGTGGCACCACCTTTTACTGTGTGCAAATAAACAACATGAAAGTAATGTCACTTGTTGATAGTTTACATTCTGATTGGTTGTTATAAGTCAGAAAGTGACACGCCGGTATAAAGATTATAATAGTATAAGCAGTCATACTATGCTCAGTAGTAAAAGTATGAACCCATTCATGGCTGCAAGAACTAAAATGTCCCATGAAAAGTATGTACTTATCAGGGATAATTCATGCAAAAAATTTGACAAGACTATATTTGAGTAGAAACAGTATGCAAGTTTGTAAAAAGAGTACATTAAACTTCCATCTTAGTAATATAAGAGGTCAAGGTAGAAATCCATAACTCTATGAGAGTGATTTTTTTTTTTTTGTGGTTATGTTCTATTTGAGATAGATGATTGTCAGGTACAGATCTTTGCAATGGTGTGAAAGTGTCATCAAAAACAGTAAGGCTGTAAATATAGGTGTGAATGTTACCTTGAGAACATTAAGGTACACATTAGCATAAAGTGGTCTCAATGGATGAGTACCTATTTGAAAAATACTGCTGAGAAGAGGTAAATTAAACCAAGGGGTTAAAATGGAGGTTTGACCACAAAATGGGAATGAGCAAAGCTGGATATGTATCCTTTACAGGTGAATCCAATTTTGTATTGTTTGTCAACAATCAATGACATTTTGTTCAGTAGCAGAAAAGAGAACAATATCATAGTAAATGTACAAGATCTTCAATGAAGCATGGAGTGGAATTGGTACAAGTTGGGGGATAATTTTCAAATGGCAATATTGGTGATCTACATAAAATTGATAACTCTCTTGACAAATACTGATTCATTGTGCCTTTCTCTCAAGAACATGATTCATCTGGTGGGGATTAATATTCCAGTAAGACAATTATCCCAATCCTACAGAAAATGTGAAATGACGTCTTGATGGTAAAGAGACTGATGAAACACTTAATCATGGGTTGGCTTGTATAAAGTATTGAAACTTATGTGCTTATTAAAACTGTGAAGGTCAAAAGGCAATCAAGTTACTTGTCTGATCCGCTGGGAGTAATA